GGAACAGCCAAACGAGAGTACTATATACTTGATCTGGTGGGAGCAAATGATAAGCCACAGCCTCTACTGGACTCATCAACTGAAAAACACACAGTGAAGATCTTACCTGTAGCAGTATAGTGCATCGGGAGAGAAAGGTAAGGGGAATCCTTTTGTTCCTTCGTCGTTCTTCCTATCGTCAATCAACATCAGCAGATTATTTTCCACTTTGTAAAGCTAACGACACGGAACTACATTCGGTTGAAACAGATATCTTACCTGCTATGCATCCACTTCCATAAATCCCTACAGGACAAGGAAGCAGTGAACACATCTGGATCGACTGAAAAGATAGCGATTAGTTCAAGGAAGTGAGAACTAAGACGTACGATTAACTTCCAAGTCCCCTGATCTGAGCCGGATGCAAGTAGCTATCAACCCATTCGTTGTTGATGTGATCCTCCATCCAACAATAGCAGATTACCTTCTGCTCGTAAATCTATAAAGAGGACATCAGCTTTAAATTTATTAGATACAGACAACAACGAGATATATCAAACAACACGGAAAACAAACACCATTCGAATCAATCATGGATGGATCAATGAAACTCTACGATAATGAAACTGAGAACTTTTTCTATTTCTACAGAACACGGCATAGAGAACGCTGCAAAAAAGCTTCTTAGAACAGCTCTTACCTGGCTACTCAGGAATGTCCCAGTACCTATACCGAGTGGATAATTCGTTGATGGTCGGGTCCGAATCCGACAGTACACAGGACCAACTTTACGAACTTTTCGAACGATTACTCTAAGAGGAACAAAAACTTTTTCGAGAATTAGATGATTGTTGCCAACCACAACAGTCTATGAGAACAACATCTTTCACAAAGGTTTATTAGATACAGACAACAACGAGATATATTGAACAACACGGAAAACAAACACCTTTCGAATCAATCATGGAAACTTTACCAGAAAAATCTACAACCTGAAACATTTCATGAAAAGGCGCTTAGCGCTGCTGAGGAGTTCGAGCATGTCTTTGTCTTTGTTTGATATCGCGAACAGTAGCTTCTTGTACTGTTCGTGATCACATCGTCAGAGAAGCTGAGCAATGATATAGTTCTTAGACTGCACACATGTTTTTGAGGGCACGTCGTGCATTTTGGAACTTTTCCAAACAAGGCGTCTGCCCAGACACAAATTGACGAACGAATTAGCATATTTCTTAAAATGATTCAGATATTCAGATTGTGCATTTGATTCTGCTCGAGAATATCAAAACGGCTTTTCTATTCCTCGAGCTCGAGAATAGTCATTCAAGCGAACATGGGCTGGCGGACTATCAAACGGCATCTCCTTTTCTAGACCAACAGGGAGCTTTCGATTCGAAGTGATTCTGATAACTTCATCTCTTCTGTGTATACTTTATTCAGTACAAACGTTTGAATAAGAACCATTTTCATTTTTCATAATGAATTACAGGGTAATGGGTACGTTGAGAACGAAACGACTTTATAATTATGAATAATAATGAAAGAAGCACAGAGGAAAGAGAAAATGCAAACATGTGAGCTGACAAGATCTGATGGTGATTTCTGAACAACACAATTCAGAAAATGAACTTCTTATTTCAAGGGTCACAGTATTCCATAATTGAGTTAATATGAGAACTCTCAAACCCCTAGGAGATTACAGTTACTTTCCATTCTTGCGAGAGACTAGTTATTTTTCGTGCTGAAATAGTAGAATGCAGTAGTCTCGCCTATTCTTGTTGGAGATAAAGGAATTGAACTTACCTCTCTTCATGATTGAGTGTATTCTATTCCTGTAGTCTGCGTTGGACATCAACCCATGATAAGATCCAAATATGGGATAAAGACACATGCAGATAATTGAACATTGAAAAATGACTGCAAAGATTGTGGTAAGAGTCATGTGGTAATGTAGTATGTACTCAAATTCCCCAATCCGAAAAAGCTACATATAATGAGACAGATTGTAGGAATGCCGATTCCAATCAATCCCATCATCATCTGAATAATTGAGCTTGTGTCTAGTTCAGCACAGATCAACTTACAAAGGAAATCACACCACCTGTGAGTCTTCGTTGGTTTGCCAAGAATTGAGCTGATTGCGAGGACTTTCCTTGAATTCTGATGCTTCGTACTAAGATCATCACACAAATACTCGTAACTATTATGTAGAAGAACGTCATTACTATCATGTACACTATTGATGTGATAATTGCTAATTCAGGTACTAGGACCATGTTCACTCCATTCATGGTATCCATCTCTTTCGGATATACTTTGATCTTCTGAAAGCTATTGGTTCAAAAGCAAAACCTGATCTATAACCTTAATGCAGATCTTTCGGCCTTCTTCGCCTGAATCTTTCATAGTCCAACCTAAGGCAGATATCAGAAGTAATTGGAGTATCAACTGGGAGAAAAATATTCGCAAGATGAGATTCTTTGTTCTCTCACACAGTCCCAACGACACTGCTAGAGCCCGATTGATGGTAAGAAGTAGAGCGAAAGTTGAACATACTGTAAAAAACATTAGTTGTATGATGTTCTTCTTCCATTATGCTTCTCTTACCAGCTAACAAAGCAACTTCAATCCAGGCTTGATGGATGGTGCTTAATATATGGAATCGAGTGAAGAAGCCCACTGTATAACCACTGCTGCACGGAAGAATGAGATATGGTTGGACTCCCAGGGTCAGAAACAGTTGAGCGATTGCACTTCTGAGTAAGAGGGAATATAAATCATATTTGGGGACCAATATACTAACGAAAAATCGTGTCCGTGTATGGCGAAACGAGAGATGGCTGATAGTTTAGTTGGCACAGTCATGAACAAATACAATGAAACGAATATGATTAGAAATCCGAAGGCAGAGCAGCAATACAAGAGAAGGATATACAGTTCCATGATAACTTCAACAACGATTAGAAAGATTTGTTTCCAAATCAAGTTGTACGAAGATCTCTACCGCTATGATTATACTCCGACTCTTCGTGAAACTGTTTTCGATCTCAGCAAACAACAGTACAGACCCTAATGCTTTGGTGATTTCAGGTATCGAAAGCTACAAACCATGCAACAGTTTTTTTGTCAGTTATTTATATGTTCTCACCTAGGTAACAAACTTTATTATTATATTCCGCTTTCATAAGCCGAAGATCGGCGTCTTGTAGTGAACAACATCCAACAAGACATCATGATAACCATTCAGAGTAGTATGTATACCTCTTCTCTGAATTCAGATCATAGCTTATAGTGCTATAAACAACCGATCAGACGTTTTTCTTCATAAAAATGAAAAAAACCTACGTGATACGTGGTTTACTGGCCTTTCCCGCACAGACGGGTTATTGCAACGTTCTCTCATCGTACAGACCGGTTGTGTCCTTCATTCTCCTCACACTGTTCAAATGAGCTGTTTGACCTGTAATGAAAGATCCATGCAACCACATTGCAGCCATGCCAATGCAATTTGCAACCAAGGAAAGGCATCAGCTGAACATTCATCACAACTAGTTATAAACTTACATTTAGCAACTAACATGTGTCTAATCCAAATGATATCGCACACTTTAGTGTCCTCATCTGAGAACTTGAACACCATGTAACAAACTTTCAGACACGAGCACTACATCTTTCTGATTATTATCCATCAATTGATGTAGCCAAAACAGCAATAATCAAGAAGACTTTGGGTTGCTTCTGGTGTATGACAGTTGAAAACAAAACTGCAAAGATGGCATGTGTTGGGGCAATGCAACCCAAAACATATTTTATTTCAGAAATACTCTTTCCGGAAGAGCCCTGCAGATATTGGGATTCTGAAAAGCAAAAGACATGTTTCAAATGATCATAACCTCATATTGCAGTTGTTACTTCTATATCAATACAGATCGGGTAGCTGCCAACGATCATCATGAATTCTTATGATCACACGTCTGAACATACTTAAGAAAAAGTAAATGAAAGGAGATTCTTGTTAGTATTCTTGCGGGTGATTCAAACGCAGATATCACACCTAAAAGTGTGAAGAGAGCTGATTAGCAGAACATATCAAGGTATATGGAAGAAGAGAACTTTGCCTTCATTGCCAGAAGGCGTCATTCTCCTGATATCAATCGACCTCATGGAGTGAGATAGAACACAATGTACAATGAATACTTCATTCAACATCAACATAAGTCTGTATTATTATGGCAACTAATTACTTGAGCTTAAGCAAGAGTCTCGAAATAAAAATGAAAAACGAGTTTTATCGTTTGGAGAGCTCCAAAATAATTTTTCCGTCTTTTGGTTGCATTATGATTCCCATAACTATACGAATGAGATCCTGAAACATAGATTGAGAGTTTGATTCTCATCTGTTCATTCACGTACTTCTTGTCCTTTACAAGTTTTCAGCTTATACAGTTGCACAAGCTTAACTAATACCATTTTGAACTCCATTTCTGCGAAACGCATTCCAACACAATTCCTCGGACCCAATCCGAATGGCATCCATTTGAGAGCAAAGTCTTTGGAATCCTCTTCCAAAAATCTATGAATGAAACTATTCTAGTTGACACATCATTCGAATCAAACCTTTCAGGATAAAATTCCTCAGCATTCGAATACTTGTTTTCATCATGATGCATAGAGTACACAGGAGTGAACACCCATGTACCTTTGGGAATGTGAACTCCTGTGACTACTGTATCTTCAAGGCATTCACGACTTGTAAAGCTGGAAGAAAGAGAGAATGAAATTCATAAAGTAAGTAAGAGATACTTAATAACTGGAGGATAGATACGAAGAGACTCTTTGAAAACAGCGTCCAGATATGGCATATCATGAATAGCTTCAAACGTCAATCCCTTGAAACATCAAAATATATTGAAATCAAAGAAAGAGAGAAAGAAAGAAACCTTTTGTTGCTTCGTCGCGATTATTTCTTGATACAGCTTCTCTTGAACTTGAGGGTGTTTTGCTAATAAATAAGCTGAATATCCTAAGGCTGTGCTTGTTGTTTCATATCCGGCAAGTAGAAAAGCATAACAATTACTAACAACTTGTTCTTTTGTTAATCCCTATAAGGAAAGAGACTGCATCTTATCATAATGATCATAAGGGGAGGATTGCTTGTTTGTGTTTCAATGCAGACACAACTCTCACAACCTCCTTCTTGCTTTTGTTACTCACGTTTCCTGCTGTGTCAGCTTTGTTCAGCAGAAGTTGTAGGATATCCATACTATCCGTGTGCTGTCCATTCTTTCTCGCATCATAGCTGAAGACAGAGCAAACCACAAAAAATATTTTTTTCAAACTTCCACATACACTTGACTCAATCCATCTATCAGAATTTTTTCCACTCTGGCCATTCCAGACATGGGATAAAGCCATTTCCAAAGCCACGAGAATTCCGGTAAGAAAACTGCAATTCAACGGAAATTCAATGTTTCATCTAATGCATTTCGTTACTAATCATCCAAAAAACGGAAACATCGTTTAACCCTCAGGCAATCTCGCGCTTCTTCGCTTTCAAGCTTGCTCCATCAAAAAACCAGAAAAAGAAAAAACTTTGCAGCAGCACAAGGCGATAATCTCAAATCTCCTTTCCTTCTTACAAAATAACCTTGAAAACCTTATTTTCCCTTTTCTCTCTCTCTCTCTCTCTTCAACTCTTTGTAAGCTTATAGACTGCCTGAGGGTATAGCATTGCAGAGAGCTGTCCTTTTTTGGAATAAATATCTTTTCATTAATTGCATACTATATCAATAGATTATTGTTTTTCAAACACAATAAAATAATATTTTCTTTGATAGAAACTTATTCATATTGCTTATTCTCTTTTCAAATACCCTGATTAGCATATTTACGTGAGATTTCACGTGAAATCATCATCGAATCATAAATTCATTCTTTCACACACAAACTCATTGAACGGTTGCTTTTTTTCGAAAATGAATGCCGCGGATAGATATATCATTGCACATTGCTTTCAACCCACACACGCACACACATAAACAAACACAACACCCATGCACAACATCTCTTAGAGCTCTTTTCATATAAAGAAACCAACTGACCTATCATCTGTTTGTAGTTTCATGTCTAACATTTGGTTTCATACATTGCCTGAGCATCTTAGAACGGTTTAATGCGTACTGTGTTAGGCAATGAACCCTACCCCTCTCACTTGTTTATGCTCTGACCATACTACATAACCTCTCAATAACAAAATATGTGTTACCTGATGCTGGTACTATGATATTCTCATTCAAATCAATCTCTCTGAATACTTGTTTGGCGTTCTGATAGAAAATCTGAGAAGGAGGGATATATAATAGATGAGCAAAGACGAAAGAAACCTCATTCCTATCCAACTGACAGTTACTTTCAATAGCAAAAGCACATTTTCCAATGACGTCCATGGTAAGAGCTTGGAAATCACTGAAAATCTCATTTAAACAACTTCATCTCTCGTTTATATCGTTTCTGCGACTCTCAATGAACTCCTCATTCTCTCGATACAATTCATTTCTTTCAAATTTCATTCGTTACAGATTGTGCACAAGAAGAGGAAGGAATACAAATCCTGCAAACACCATCCCAATGACTCACATTCAACGGTTGAAAATGGTTAGTTGCTTTTGATTTACGAATCAGTGAGTGAGGTTGTTTCAAGTGAAAGAAGCTTACTCGTAGATGTTGAAAGCAGATCCAGCTTCAACCCTTTTCTCGATGATTCTCATGAACGTCTGAATCTTGTCTTCGATCGTTTCATACATCATTCGCATCTTGCCTACAAAATGTTCTCTTTTCCTTATTTTTCGTTTATGAAGAAGAAGCGGAAGGAGAAAAAGCATACCAGTAGAGAATTGGGGTGACATGCAGCTACGAACTTCCTTCCAGCCACTGCTCTTTGCCATTTGAACTAAGGCTGTCCGTAATTCTATAAAAAAAAAATTATTTTCATTTCTTCTCTCTTTCTCTCTGTATCCCTATCCGTTCTGCTCGTTCTCCCTCTCCCCTACTCCCTCTTAAGCTCATAAAATTACCATTTTGCCAGAAAACCTCAGGAACACATCGATCACCAAATTTCGAAAACTGTTTGATGAAAACTTCTTTTGCGAATTCTTCGTCGTTTGAAATAATTTGGAGCTTTGGACCCAGGTACAACCTGAAAACGGAAAATATCACCAAAACGAGAATAATACTAGATACTAGAGAGTGAAAGAAAGCAATAAGAAAAGAGAGAGACGCAGAGACAAATAGTAATCTCCTATCAATCCTCCTTACCCAAAGGTCTTTCCATAGTCCGTATGCCATTTGAGTAAATCTAGATAACCATCATCATATCCGTATTTCTTATTTTTTTGAATAAAATGGTGCATATTTCCGAAAATAAAATTCGTTTTTGGTCCTTTCAATCCAAGTTCTTCTCGAAGTTGGAACTGTCTCCAGCGTTGCCTGGAAAAGAGCTTTTCATTTGATTTTTGTTGTTTTTGCACAAAACATGAAACAAAACCCTTTTTTTCTTTTATTTTTTTCCTTTCAAAAGAGAAACCTCATAGTTCCGCTCTGTGACAGAAGCGAGAGAGAGACAGAGAGAGACATAGATAGATAGAGAGAGAGAGAGATGAAGGATGATTTGAATATATGACCTCTTATTCTTTATGAGGTTATTATTAAAAACTTCTTTCTCCCTCCTTTCCTCTCCCTCTCTCTCCCTCTCTTCCTCCCTCTACTCCTCTCCTTCTCGTGTTTTCTCTTTGAACAACAAAAAAAGCTTCTTCTTTTCATCCTTTTTTTGAAATTTGAATATAAAAGGTTGATAGATGATCTCTTAATATGGATATGGATGAAGCACGCATTCCACGTGGATGAATAGGTGCACAAACAAGCTGATCCCTCCACCCTCTTTCATCTTCTATCCTTTCCTTTAGTCGTTTTCAATTCTTTTTTTTTTTTACTCTTTGTTTTCCCAATACCTTCTCTTTCAAGATTCTTTCTCTCTCTCTCAAGCGTTTCTCTCGAACTTAAAAGTTCTTAAATAAAACGCTTTGTTCAAGATGAGTTGCAACTCCATTTACACCTCCGCTGAGTGTACTCTTCCATTTTCTCCGTGTTGTTCTCTACAATGTACTTGGAGATTCAACTCTCCTTCAAACTTTCCAATTTCAAATCATTCACCTTTGCACATATGCTTTCTATCTATCTCTCTCTACCTATACCTCTCTCTCTCTCTCTATCTCCTTTACTATGCCCAACTCCAAAAAAGGAGAACTGAAACTTCATGTTATTTCCGGCATTGCAGGTTTTTTTGCCCCAAAATTTGATGAAATCCCTCATGAAAGGCCTTCAGACGACTTTTGACTTTCGAACGAACTCAAAGAATGTATTTCGTCGAACTCCTTTCAACTGTTTTCAATCTCAAGTTGTAGTACGAGATAGAGAGAGAGAGAGAGTTAGAGAGAGAGGATGCAGTTGACGTTCTCGACGAAAGGAATTTCCATCTTCTTCTTCTTCTCCTTCTTCAAATAAAATATTTTTCTTCTTCAATTAAATGTTTTAAAGGCGAGAATTCATAAATCTCTCTCTCTCTCTCTCTCTCTGTGTTATTCTCTCACTAAATCCTTTTTCTCTTTGTTTTTTGAGCCTTAAAAAAACGAAAGAAAATTAGGAGAAAATGATTAAAAAGCTTTTGGAGGGGAGAGAATGGAGGGGGGGGGAGTGGTGGTGATGGCACAGCTCCAAACCCACAGAGGCTTGAAACATGGAGAGAAGGCGATTGGACATCTCACGAAATGCTCGTGAATATCAAATTTCTTTCCTTTTTGTCATTTCAACTGTATGTTCAATTTTTTTCTTCTTTCTGATTTCAATTGACTGCCACACATCATGATAAAGAGAGATGGGAGAGACGCTTCAAAGAGAAAGAGAGAGGGAAGGAGTATCGATGATTAGAAAAAGTGTTCGTTAAAATTGAAATTTTGAGAGATTTTCAACAAGTGCAGAGTAGATTTCATTTTGAATTTCGCAAATTAGAAGAGCGGTTGTCTTTTCATTTCTCCAGTAGACTATGTGATAAGAAAGGAAATGTTTGGACTCATGCAAAAAGAGGAAGATTTACATCCTTAAAAGGATCTTTCATACTTCCAAGAACATGCTTCAAGTCTGTTAATGAATCATTTGTCCCTTCCTATGTATTCGCGGTTTGCTTGTTTGATTAGAACACTCTTAAGCACAAACTACTTGCTAGCTGCTGCCTACGCAAAAAAATAAATTTATAATCGTTTTTTTTTCTTCTTTTTTTTTTTCTTTTTTTGAAGATAAAGGAAAACATACGACGAAATGTATTTACTCTGTTCTTAAAGCTCACTCGTAATTAGCATATTCGAGAAGAATGAGGTAACGTGAAACGTGAAAAACGTCAAATCTCACACTTGACCGATTGCGGACGCAGATGAGCGGTTGTTACTGAGTTATGCTCATACTTAATATGTTCGCAAAGACAGATGACTTGAGACTTTGAACGAGGAAGAATTAAACTAACCATATTAGATAGGTGAAGTATAGAATTAACAGCAAACTTAGAAATATGATCATTTTTGTTAGTCTGAAATGAAGAGTTGAGAAGACATCAACATCAGTAGCAACCGACAGAGAGACAGACGAACGAACAACGAGCGCCGTGTAAATAAATGAAATTTAAAAAAGAAGTTTCAACATGAAAGATTCATTATCAAACTTTCAAAGCTTCTGCTTCTTCCATCTTATTTGAATACGACGAACGATTCCATTTTTTATAACAAAAATAATGAATTTGAAAACAAAAATGAAAGAAAATGAGACAAACAGAGAGCCATGTGTGGCTGTGTGCTTGTGCTGTTGTGATGTGTTCTAGATGAACACAGCATCAGCAGCAGCCTAGCAGAGCTCATTCATTACAACATCCTTATCATTGATATAGCCATTGATACCATAATCTTATCTAAACTACACTCTACTTTGAAACTGTTTTTTTGGTAACGTCTCATAAAAATTTATTTTTCGTCTAACATCCCTGTTCCTTATACACTAGACTCTCGTTGATAACAGCTATCATCATGTATTCATCCTTACTCTCTACTGCCAAACACACAAACTATAAATTGTAGATGAAATTATAGTTTGCTTTCACTTTTTCCTATTTCAACATGCGATTATACACGTGAACAACTCCTTCAACATGCTGAGGGGGGGAATGTATGTAACTGAATACCATTGCTGCGTCTACATACCGAAAAGCTCGAAATGATTTTACGTGCGGAGCATTGATGCTGTGAGAACTCTGACTTCCATCTCATCAGATGTCCGAACTCATTGGAACAAGATCGGAAATGCTCATGAGGTGATAGAAGAATCAGTGTTTTGCTGCTCACTAAACATAGATAACAGATTCGTCATTTCAAAGAAGTCAGATGAGGAAGTATCTCATGTTCATAGTGAATACCCCTTTCTTCCGAAAAAAAGTTTGAAATGAAGAAATTTTTTGAATGAAATTCTAATTTGATCAGATGAAAGGTGTATTGTGAACAGATTTGAATAGAGCACGTCATTCAGACACCCATATTCCATTTGAGGAGTTGAGTCTCTCACTCACTCATCTCTTCTTCTTTTTTTTATATTTATTGGCTTTTCATAATAAATATGTTAATTATTCATTACGCTTTCACGTAACTTCTCACGTATATTCTAATTTGCATGATATACTAACTATGCGGTAACTCTGTGTGTTTGTCTATCTATATGATGTACATGGGTGTGTACTAATAATATGCCCATACATCATATAGTTTGTATTTTATTGACAAATATTCAAATGAGAAGTATGAAACTCCCTTCTAAGGAGCATACGACTCGGTTTGATGTTCATCAGTCGTTCAAGCCTAACCTTTACCTTCAGTTAGTGACATTTAGCGGTAAAGATCAAAGTTTCTCATGTTTCCATCTTAGATCTGATGTTGTCCTCAGACAGGACAGGAGGAAGAAGCTTGATCTTAACAGCATTTCGTCCCTTCAAACACAGATTTGTCTCTAATTTCATTCGTTTATGCCGTCGTTTATTTCTCCATGAAACTGATTCAGAGAGCGGAACAAAAACATTATTTTATAAAGTTTTTTGTGCAAATTGCCCCTGAGGGCATGGGTGAGAATCGAATCAAGATTGGGAGGGTGGAGAAGTTACGATTTTGAAGCATTTTTCCCGGAAAAATAATTGGAGAAATTGGAAAGAAGAAAGGTTTTCTCCGTAAAACTATGAGAGTTGTGTGTCAGTTGCAGGAAGAAAACGGAATTTTCATTTAATTCTGTGACAAGCTCGGTAAGCTCACATGTTGAACTTATCCAATTGGCTTGTAATAGAAGAAGATGGAAAACGGAAGAAAAAGTAGATTCTTCCGAATATCAACGAGTTCTTCCTCTTTGGCATACTAACTATTACACAATGAACATTAAAAGAGTCCTTCAAAGGTTAAAGAGAGAGGAAGCGAGAGAGAAGGAGGGACGGCTGCAAGCGAGATAGACGGAAACAACTCTCAACACATTCTCCTTCCCATTCAGAGAAAAAGAAATGAACGTGAAGCTTCTCCCCCCC